CAAACCTAAAGATGCCCGAGGGCTATGCTTCAAACCTAGGAAAATATGCCGATATGGTTGAAGGAAAGCTGACTCATATGAAAAGTCATGATTGTCATATCTTCATGGAAACCTTAATCCCTATTGCATTTTGTGGTTTGCCTGAAAATATCTGAAAACTCATCACAGAGATAAGTTTGTTCTTCAAAGACTAATATTCTACCACATTAAGGGGAAAAAACCTATTTCAAATGAATCAGAACATTTTGTAATCAGTAATAAGATGGAAAGTATTTTCCATATGGTTTCTTTGATGTTATGGAACACTTTCCAATTCATCTTGTACATGAGGCGCGACTTGGAGGGCCTGTTCAATGCAGGTGGATGTATCCATTCGAGAGGTAATGATCAAACCTTGATTTATTCTTGTAATTTTCTTTAACGTTATTGTCTAATATGATAATGTGCAGGACTATCGACAAGTGTAAACGATTTGTTAAACAGAGGAATATAATTGAAGGATCCATATGCAAAGCCTACCTTGCAAAGGAAACTACCCATTTTTGTTCTTACTACTTCGACAGTCATGTGCCATGTGCTAGAAATAGGCCCAATCAGCACAATGTCGTGATTGACATTAATCTATTATATCCACCAATGTCCATATTCAATCAACCAGGCCGAGGTTCTAAAGATCGAACAAAAAGGTTCCTAAGTAGTATGGAGTACAAATCAGCTTCAAATTATGTGTTGCTAAATTATCTGGAAGTTCAACCCTTTCTTAAGTAAGTGTTGACGTAAGATTAATTTACATGGACTACTATTTAATTTGGTTGATGCAACTAACAAAATTTTCAATGTGTCGCTCAGTGACTTCGTGAGTCAATTTGGCCATGATACTGTATATTCTACATTTGAGGCATGGTTTACAGAGTGTGTAAGTGCAAACTTACATACTTTCTCACATGTGAATGTGCATATTTGGTCACTTGTGAATATACTTGCTCACTTGTGATTTTTTTAACACTACATGTAGTTTCAATAATCCAAATAACGGTGTTAATTAATTTTTGAAAGACATATCTTGGGAACCTGCACCTACGGTTACAAATATGTCTAAGTATTTTGTGAATGGTTACAAATTTCACACCGAGAAATGCTCCAAGTATAAAAAGGCAATAACAGTGGGGTGTATGTCAAAGGTGGTGAAGGCAATCAGGATGGGGAAAATGATTATTATGGTGTGATCAAAGAGATTCTAGAATTATCATATTCAGGTTGGCCAAATAAGAAGATCATACTTTTCCGATGCAAGTGGTTTGACCCAACACCTAGAAGAGGTACAAATGTACACTCGCAGTACAACATAATTGAGGTTAATAAAAAGAGGGAGTATGATCGCTATGATCATTTTATAACTATCATATCCATTGCGGAGGGATAAGGTTGATTGGTTGGTTGTAATCAAAACTAAGCCTGTTAGTAGGGTGGAAGTTGAGAATGTAATAGATGTTGCTTACCAAAATGATACCTCAAGTGTTAACCAAATGGTGGATGATCAGTTAAAAAATGACTTGGAGCATCCTCAACGCATATTAGAAGAAGTTGATATGGAGGAAATAACAATCATAGAAAATGAGGATGAAGAATCACCTAATAAAAATGAAATAAGTGAAGAGGAAGAATTTTCGGACGAGGAAGGATACTTCGAAACGACTAGTATATTAGTTTTTTCAAGAGCTCTCAACTTATATAGATTTATATTCTCAATTCTAACATTTTCTTTAATTTATGCAGATGACTCGTAGGGTTCGAGGTAGATCTAGGAAGGATAAGAGGCCTATTGATCGACGATGGTGTTACACCCTCGCTTCCTTCCACTCCACACATGCATCCCTCCGCTGTTGATGTCTGGAAGTAATCTTCTAGGCACACATCTATTCCACCATATCCATCTACTTATCAGACTACCTACCATTTGCCCTCCCAACAGTATTCTTACTATTTTTCGAAAAAAAGAGCTATACCTCGCTTCCTCCACACGATCCTGCATATAATTACATGGGTCAATCAAGTCATCAGTCACAGGGCCATATGGTGATACGCCCGCCATCTGCTCCATTTGCTTCATCACCCGCTGGATCACATCTATCTAGATTTCAGCCAGCCGGATCGTAGCAGGGGTCTAGATTGCTGTAGGGGTGTGGATCGTAGCCATCTTCATTAGCGACACCGTCTCCCTCTCCACGGAGTTCGTCTCTTAGCATTTCTAGACTTCACCTTTGGGATAGTAGCGCTGAGCCAGATGCCTCCCCTTTTGCGCACGCTTCAGATTCATCGGAGGAAGATGATCCAGAGGAAGTGCGGTATGATCGTTATTATAGGATGATCATCAAGCCTGAGGGCAATGGGTAAGATTTATTTATTACTTCTTTGTTTTTGCTGAATTATATTAGCTAGTCTTGTTTATTTAATGTAATTACTATGTTGCAGGTTCATACCTAATAATTGGACTACAAAGATAATCACTGAAGCTCTTGGCCGTTTGTATGATGCACCATATGCGACTTGGAGTGACTTTCCACCGGAGCTCCTGCAGCAAATTTTCAACCAATTTAAGGTTTTAATACAATTTATTATCTATTTTAGCATTATATTAACAATATTTTCATCTAACGTTACACACTTCATTTGTAAACTAAGTGTGCCTGGGAGGACCGGCATAACAGTGCCATTCTTGCAAATTTTGAGTTCAAATGCCGTAAGAGACTATCCGATTCCTTCTATTCTGCTCGGAAGAAGAGCAAGAAGCCTCCATGTGTTCTACCGCACATATGGGAGGATCTGCTGAGGCAGTGGAACACTGAGAAGTTCGAGAAGAAGAGTGAACATGGAAAGAAGCCCCGAGCATCTGAGAAGGGTGACTCCTTGCACTATGTGGGCACAAGGAACATGGGGATTGTGAGGAGACTACTAGTAATTCCTTAAAATATTTAATTCTATTTTTATCGAACTATATTTATATATTTTAATTTAGTTAACATGTTTTATTATATTTGTAGGAAAAAAAATATGGGAGGAAGATGACTCATGATAAGTTCTTCATGGAGACTCACATCCAGAAGAAGAGGGCACCGACAAATCCAAGTAGATGGGTCGAGGACCGGGCGAAAACTACATATGTAAGTTTCATAACTACTATAACTTGAAATTAATGTTTATAATATAATATAGTTAATAATTTTCTATCTTCTAAATAAAGGTTCGCAACAAGATTAATGTGGAGGAGTACACTTAGAGCTTGCCACCGAATGAGCAAGGCGAGCGACCACCCGTTTCAGACGAAGAAGCACAGAAGATATGGTTGGATATTGTCGGTAGTCCTAAAAAGGGAATAGCATACGGCCTTCCAGAGAGATCATTTCGGTGCTACAGGGTTGGATTGCAAGGTATAGGGACTTCCGCCCAAGGCGAGGCAGTTGATAGGTCGACTCTCTCGTCTATGAAGAAGAAGATCGCAAAGCCGACAACAGAGCTTGAAGAGACAAAGGCTAGAGAACAAAAGAGAGATGAACAATTTGATACCCTTCAAGTTCAGCTAGAAAAGGGGGACCAGCAATTTAATCTCCTTCAAGATCAGCTGGCCAATCTTCTTGCTAGTGGTGCTTTCCCTATTCCCCGGTCTCGTGAGCCTTCCCCAGATGCTAATCCTTATCGTCGTGATCCTTCAAACCATGCCAACGATGAAGCTTCTAGTAATGAAGATGGAAATGATGCAATACAAAACACTCATTGAATGGTGTATATTGCTAAACAAAGTCTTGAACTTGTAAATATTTACTTAGGAATAGTTTTGAATGTTGATTGTATTGTTGATATTATTTTGTAATTGAACATTTGTACAGTTGTTGTTGTGGTTGGCGTTATTGTTGTAGTTATTGTTATTGTTGTTGTTATTGTTGTTGTGATTGTTGTTGGTTAATTGTTGTTGTTGTGGTGGTTATTGTTGGTTAATTATTGTTGTTGTTGGTTAATTGTGATTGAATGGCAACAATGTAATGTTGCCAATATAGGATGGATATTGGTTATAATTGACAGGTGGTGTAGCTTAAACGCAGGCATATTCTTCTTGGTATTTACCCAAACCGACCGATTTCGATCGGAATTCTCATACAAAAAATCCAAAAATTCATATTTACCAACCGACGTCGGTCGGATATAAATTTTTTATTTATTTATTATTTTATATTTCCGACCGACTTCGGTTGGTATGTTAAAACTAAAATTATTTCATATTTTTAATTTCGACCGAAGTCGGTCGATATTTTAAAAAATAAATAAATAAAAATTTAAATAATTTTGACCGATTTCGATCGTTATAATTATTTTTTTCAGTCAAAACGGTCTACCAACGGTTGAATTAACCGACTGAAATCGGTCGAAAAATTTCGACCGCCTTTAGTCGCAACGCCTTAGCGACTTATTCTTCCGACGAACTAAAAGCGGTTAGAAATCAGTCGTTTTTCCTTTAATTCTGACCGATATCGGTCAGTATTGGTGGTCAAAATTTGGCAGTTTTCTAGTAGTTCCCCTTCCATATACCTTATATCAGAGCAGCCATGATAGCAGGTACAAATATTTTCCTTAGTCGCCCTTTTACACTTCTAGCAACTCTTTTCCAAAGACCTTCAAGTACCATGTTTTGCACTCCTATTCTCAGCCATTGGAGTATATTTGTAATGCATGCTTTGGAGAACTGGCATTTAAAAAATAAGTGGGATATAGTCTCTGTTGCTTGACCACATATCACACACAGGTTGTCTTGACTTATTCCAATTCGTGCAAGTTTGTCCTTTGTTTCTAACATTCCATGTATAGTTAGCCAGCATATAAAACTATGCTTGGGTATATTTAATTTGTTCCATACCCAAGCTCGATGTTGCCCGGTGCCTGACTTCCCCTTAGCCATTCATTTCCACTTTTGAGCGTGTATTTTCCACCTTGAGAGAGTCAATAGTTATTCACATACCAATTGCCATTTTATCTCTGATATGGCATATCTTCTTCCAATACCAGTTGATGTCCTGAGGTGCTTCATAGTCCCACCAAGATTCTTCTTTTATAAATAGATGATTGACCCATTTTACCCATAGGTTATCTTCTTTCTGGGCAATATTCCATACGTACTTTACTATAACAGCATCATTCCAGCTCACACAATCTGTAACTCCTAGACCTCCTTCATTTTTGATCTACCTACAAAATCACAGGCTATCAGTGGTACTCTATTAGTGTCCACCTTCCCATCCCAAAGATAGTTCCTACATATAGTAGTTATTCTTTTAATAACTTCTCGAGGTAGTATAAAAATAGATGCCCAGTACACATGTGTGTGCAGCAGTACTGAATTTATCAGCTGCACTCTACCAGCATAGGATAGTGTTCTCGATCCCCATCCTCTAACTTTAACAGTCAATTTGTCCACCAATATTTCAAAGTCTACAATTGATATCTTTCTTGATGTAATAGGGACTCCAAGGTACCTGAATGGGAGCTTTCCTTTCTGGTAACCAGTAATCTCACACAAGCCTTCCAAGTGTTGCATATTCATGTTCACACTGAAGATGTTTGATTTCTCTGCATTAGTAGTTAGTCCTGATGCCTTTAAAAAAGTCTTCAGTCCTCTTAGTATTAACATGACTGAGTGGAAGTCACCTTTGCAAAACAGAAGAACATCATCTGCAAAACAGAGATGATTCAACTTGATGCTCTGACATTTTGTGTGAAATTCAAATCCTTCTTGTTGTGTAACCAGCTTTAATATTCTTGTAAGATATTCCATGCATATAACAAACAGTAGTGGTGAGATGGGTTCCCCTTGTCGAAGTCCCTTCTTCCCTATTATCTTCCCATATAATCCTCCATTGATTACTACTATATATTAGGGAGTCGATATGCAGGCCATGATCCATTTGATGAACCTTGCTGAGAAATTCAAAGCATATAGCATTTCCAACACAAATTCCCATTCCACAAAGTCGTATGCTTTTCGAAGGTCTATTTTTATCAGGCAGCTCTTTGTCATATTCTTTCTATTGTATAGCCTCACTAGATCCTGGCATATAAGTATGTTTTGCACAATAGTTCTACCTGTTACAAAGGCACTTTAGTTCTCCGAGATTATGTATGGTAGTATTTTCTTGAGCCTGTTATACAACATTTTTTAGATGACTTTGTACACTGTGTTGCAGCATGCAATTAGTCGATAATATTCCACTTTGTCTGCATGTTTTATTTTTGGAATGACTATTATCATTGTGCTATTAAGTGCCTTCAACATCTTCCCTGTGGCAAAGAACTCTAATACACCATATGTTAGATCATTCCCTACAATGCCCCCAACAATCTTTGAAGAATTTGCTCCCATATTAATCTGGCCCTGGTGCTTTTTCACCATCAATGTCCCATAGTGCTTGTTTTACCTCTGCATTTGTGAAATCAGCTTCAAGCATTATCCGTTATTCCTCATTCACAATAGGGCCTGCTCTAACTAGATTGGTGCATACATGTGAATTGTTATCTTTTTTTTATCCCCAATAATTCTGTATAGAATCCTACAAATGCTCGAGCAATTTCGTCTATATTAGTTACTGTTTTGTCCCCATTTCCCTTATAGAAAATATACTGTTTTCATTTCTTCTTTCTTTCATAAAGCTATGAAACACCTTTTTATTTTGATCACCTTGAGTCAGCCGTTGCACCTTTGTCTTATGTCTAAGATATTACTCACTTGCTAGCTGCAACCTGTGATAAGTCTTTGACAACTCCTTCTCCTCTCCTATCAGTGTTGTGTTCATAAGATCAAGTTGGATCTTTTTCTGGCAATCCAATAGTTGTTCTTTAGCTTGTTCTGCACTGAGTACTACTTCATTAAAGGAAGATCTATTTAGCTCCTTTAGAACTCTTTTCAATCTATTGAGTTTCCCCACCAATTGGTACATCTTTATTCCTGTACTTCTTATCTCCTAGCTTCTTTTAACTTTGCTTTGAAAATCTAGTGTTGTTTTCCATATATTGAAGTATTTGAATGGCATGCTGGTGCTTGTGTTTCCATCCTCCCAGTGCACCACTGCAGGGCAGTGGTCATACAAGCCTTCACTCTTAAAGTTTACTTCTGAGGCTGGTAGATCAATCATCCAATTCGTATTAACCATTACCCTGTCAATCCTACTCATAACTCTGTCTGCACCACTTTGTTTATTGTTCCATGTGTAAAAAGCCCCAGTAGATCTCAACTCTTGAAGACCACATGATTTCATGCATTGTCTGAAGTCCTTCATTTCTACCATTGTCACAGGGCTGCCAACTCTTTTCTCTCTATTCAGGATACTATTAAAGTCTCTCATGCACCTTGTATTTGAGTGAATAGGTCCTCCAGATCCCTCCACAGTCCCCTTCTCAATGCCATGTCATTGTAGGCATATACTATTGTGAGGCAGTATTGTTTACTAGTCCCTATATATTTTACTATACAATGAATGCACTGATAAGTTATTTTAACTATACTAACATCATATATAGTTGGTTTCCATACCACCCAGATCCTAACTCTGTTATGTTGTGCTAGATTTATTATAAAAGACCACACATTACAAAGATTAAGAGTAGCTTTGTGTGTTTTAGTTCTCTTAATCTTAGTCTCCAAGAGTCCAAATAGGCCTACCCTACAATTGTGCATAAATAGATTAACTTCCCTCTGTTTTGACAGCCTATTTAGACCCCTTACATTCCAAAAGCCTATCATATCCATTAGGAGGGGGGCTTGCCCCACCCTTACCAAGTCTTGGTCATGTATCCCCTGGGTCCTCTATGGGGTCGGAGGCACTAGATTTGAGTTTTTCTGCTTCATTTCCCTGATGTTGTTCCAATGCTTCAAATGTGTTCTTGGTATTGATCACCATGGTTCTATTGATATCTCCATTCCTAGGTCCCTTTCTGCCTTCACCACCCTTACTTGCTCTTGTTTCTTGAAGGTTACTCCCCAATCCTTCTCACTTCTTCTGCTGGCCTTGTGGTAGTGGTTTCTGTACTGCATTATTTGTTTGTTGCACCTCCTTTGCTTGCTTTCCTTTCTTAGCTATCTCCTCTTTCTATAGTTTTCTGCATTCATGTAGTTCATGTCCAAAGTTTTTACACTTTGGGCATAAGATGGGCTTCCATTCATACTCTACATCTTGTTCTATGATTTCCCCCCATTCATTTTCAAAAAGAATAGAGGTTGGATACTTCTGACTGAGTGAAATTTCCACTAGAACTGCAAATGTTAGTCTCTCCTTGTTAGTTGTTGCCCTATTTGCTTTGAGAGGTTTGCCTACCATTCCAGCAATTTATGTCAGTGCTGCTTTGCCCCAATATTTGATATCTAGTCCCCTTAGTCGAATCCACACAAGGATCTTATCCACTTGTTCTTTGCTTACATTAATGTCTGGTTCCCAAGGTTTTACAACCACTGGTTTTTTATCGAACATCGGACTCCTTCTTCTACTGCTTTGACTCTGTTTTCCCCAGAATGAAATCTTGCCAAAAAAATCCTCTATTCACTTGAGCAACTTTGTCTATACCCAGCGATCCCCAAATTCTTCTAAAGTAGCCATCAATCAACGGTAGCGGAGGATTTGATCCCAATACATAGCATACAATAGCCTACTTTCAGTAAACTATTTCATCTTCAGTATGACATTGTTATTTTGACATTCTCCTTAGTAGCTTCATCACTAGTCAGGTCTAATCCCTCAACTTCCGGAATGGGACCTACTATCTTACTCCATGAGTGAGCTTTGAATTTCTCTATGACCCTAGGGTTTCGGTTAGTACCAATTTTCCCTGCACTTTCTTCTTCCACCATGTCTGCCCAAGACGGTCTTCTCTGGTCAATTGTTGTGGGAGTTGAATCTACTCTTACTGGGGAACTCATCGCCGGAGTCATCGCCGGTGTCGTCGAGGAGGACGCCTAGCTTAACCCTGGCGGAACAATACCTTGTATAACATTGATATTCCGAGTTTTCTTTGCATCTGCCGATTGCGGAATATTCCTTTTGCTTGGATTGTTACTAGGATTACTCCCCTGAACTGGTTGCCCTTCTCCATCCGTTCTTCGTTTTCCTCATCATTCAGTCGAAACTGAGAGAAAAAGTCATGCTAGATAGAAGAACCTTTTTATACACTTGATGCCATGGTTCTGTTTGTTTTGTTTGCATTCAGATATTACGTATGTCTTGCATGAGACTTAAAATAAGAGAACAAGGGCTTGTAAAGATAGATATCGTCGTAACTAAATTATTATTACTAGAGTTATTGGCGAATGGAAGAAAGCTTCTGTATCAAAGAATTGTTAGTGGTTGTGGAGCTAGAGGATACTTGAAGTTCCTGCCTCATGCAGTTTAATTTTTGCAATGTAACTACCATATATTTGCTCATGTTCTATGCATACAAGATGACAGTAGCTCAATGCACATTTTCGTGAATTGAAGATTGTTCTTTTGCAACAACAAGAAAGTAACTCCCGTTTTAATTGGTATTTGTATATGACCATGCTGAGGACAGTCATATGTCTTGCACCTTACGAGTCATTAATAATAACAGATTAATAGGATGTTATTCTATTTCATTTCTGTTGTTAAACTTTCAGGAAGTAAAAGCTGTTATATTAAGAACAATTAATCCATCTACTACTTCTTGCATGAATCTTGGTGATGAAACATAGCATTCCCCTTATTTATGCTCATGTCAATATGTTAATTTTCTTTGTATATGTATAAAGCTAGGGTTCACTCATACCCCAAGTTAATAGTTTGGTTCAAGAATATCATTGCTGTTACAAGACCGACACAAATTTTCCCTTATTGACTAACAGAAACGATTAGATATTATTCTAAAATTAGTCTTAATGATTAGCAGGATTTCCTAACAAGTAACCACTTTCTTCAGGACATCTTTTTGGTGAGCTAATCGTTGTAGAAAAACAATATCAAGAGCTTGTCACACTTGCATTTACTTATATTGTGGGCCTATTTGTTGACTTGTACAGTTGTACTGTGGTTCCATTTGTTGTTATACATCTTTCTTAGCCATTAAAATTGAGGATGCAAGGGATTTGAGACGTAGGCCAAGGTAACTGTACATTAGTGGAGCAATATGAAGAAGAAAGAAAAATTAAAGAAGCAAATAGGTGCGCATATGCAAATTTGGCAACTTAAGACTTGTTAGATCTGTGTACTTTTATTCGTATACCCCTTGAAGTTGTACCCCTCTGCTGTGTAGACATTAGATAAATTAAAATTGTACATGTTCAATGCTTAATTTTGAATGGAACTGCCTCTTAAATGTCTTAACTGTAGTTGGAGGTAAATGGAGCTTGTCTTTTTTTATTAATTAAACATGACAAGCAGTTGCTAATGGAAGTAATTTTTGCTACATGTTAAACATAGACTGTGCATGGGGACAGGCTGCTTTCTAAATCTACATATAGACTTTTGAATAATACGTAAATCTACATTGATTTTTCTTGTCATTACGCATCATTGAGGAACTTATATGTACTATATTGACATTTCAGGAGGCGATCAAAAGTTGATGTTAGGGATTTGACAGTTGAACTATATCATAGGGTGACCCAGAGCTATAAGGACATATGAATCGCTATATTATTCTTCTATTGGTTCTTGAGAGTAAATTGTATACTTCATGCTATTCGGTCGTTAAGAAGTGTTGTTAGACGCCACCCTTAATTGGTATATTGATGTAATCAATTACCACGGATCCATCCCCACTGATGACACAGATCAAAATGATGAAGCATGTTGTTTCCCTATTCAGAGAAATTTCCCGTTAATTAATTTAACTGAATTCGTGTTGGTGGATAGCACTATGGAGAATTTACTCAAATTATTGACCATACAATTGATACAAAATATAGCAGTAAGACTAACGAGCTTTGACATCCTTTTAAATTATTGGAAATTATTTATTTTCTAGACAGAGGATATGGTTATTTTAGGAGTTACTCCCGAAAATGCATATTGAGAACATTGGTTTATGGAAATTGAAAATAATTTATTACACCAAGTCGGTGAGAAATAAAATAGGAAAAATGAATGAGCTTATTCAAGTTATCTATCTATAGGATACATGAAAGTTACTTGTGGCAGTAAAAAGTTACATGTACAATCTTTAAAAACTATCTATAAGAGGATTAAAGCAAACATGTATGTTCTAAATATCAGCATTTTTTTCTACTATGCGGTCAACAATAATAGAAAGGCATGTCAATTGTTAACATCATCACTCAAACTTTAGACGATACATTTAAGCTACTCAACTCTTAGCGGTTTAAAAGCAAAATTGGATCTCGCCTAGGGACGAGGCACTCGTAAAATGCTCGGTCTGTTGTCGGATAAGCCTTCGCTTCCAGTGTTTTAACGTACACCCGGTGCAATTGTATGTATTAGCTTTGTAAAATGAGCTGTGAGCACTTGTTTGCTTTTGACTTTTGAAATTAGGGATTTCTTTAAACCCGGTTTCCCTAATAATTTTGTAAAAATAATTAAAAAGCATAAAACGATGTCGTTTGAAGTTGTTTAAAAAAATTTAAAAGAAATTATTGAAGTGTAAAAATTTGGCATTATGTCGCAATCGGAGTAGAACATGCGACCTTCAAACACTTTTGACACCCCCTTAACCGTTGCCCCGTGGGGTTATCTTTTGTCGAGGGCCGTCAATGTATTGTATATATTTTATATATAATTTTTTTTTACTTATCTACATAGTATAATTTTTTGATGAACGGGTATAAATTAACACTCCTCGGACAAGGGATCTCCACACCTGTCTACTACTTCATCTTTTTCAATTTATGTAAAAGTGTTTGACTAAACATAAAATTTGACCGAAAAAAACTTTTAGTACTTGTGCTTATAGGTGGATCCGTCTTGATATTTTAAAC